CATCACCAAGAATATCAGCACCACCACCAGCAAAGTAAGAATCGCCATCGCCATCACGTTGTTGCTGCTCCTGCTCCTGGTCTTCCTCAGCATCCATTACTCTGATGAGTTCCTCCAAGGCAGCAGCTTGAGCTTCAGCATCATCCTCTGCAGCAGTACTACTAGCGCGTCTACGAGGAACGCGTCTCCTGCTTCCTGCTACAATACTAGCAGCAACGCGTCCTCGTGGTCCAGTAACGCCTCCAGCAACACGCCGTCCTCCAGTAACGCCTTCAGTAACACGACGACGTCCTCCAGCAACGCCTCCAGGAGTAACGCGTCCTCCAGCAACGCCTCCAGTAACAACNCACGACGACGTCCTCCAGCAACGCCTCCAGGAGTAACGCGTCCTCCAGCAACGCCTCCAGTAACAACACGTTCTCCAGCAACGCCTCCCCCTCCAGTAACGCCTCCAGCAGCAACGCCTTCAGTATCAGTATCATCACGACGACGTCCTCCAGCAACGCCTCCAGGAGTAACGCGTCCTCCAGCAACGCCTCCAGTAACGCGTCCCCCGCGTCCTCGACTACTACTACTACCAGTAGTAACGCGTCCGCGTTGTTGTTGTTGTTGCTGCTGCTGTTGCTGCTGCTGCTGCTGTTGCTGTCGACCAAGAGCGGCTGCTTCTTCTTCTTCCTCACGTACGTCAAGTGCAATTCGAAACAAGTTTGGGACAGGCTGGTCGGTGCCGCTTGCGCGGCGGCGTCCTGCTGGTGGTTGTTGTGGTGGGGGTGTCATCTTGCTTGCTGTTCTTTGTTATTGCTGCTGCAGTTCTTTATTGTGCTTTGCTGCAGCAGTGCAGTCGCAGTCCAAGTTTTTGTGTGAATGAAAACCACATGACGTGGTTGCATTATTGCACACTCTACGTACGTTCAACGCTCGAAAATGCAACTGAAAACGCTGCAGAATCTCACCAGTAAGAAAAAAAGCAATACTGTTTTAGTTAGTTAATTTACACACAAATTTTGGTATACTGTTTCAAAAAGAGGAATATTGGTCACCGTTCATAGAAATATATGGGGTAGGGCTATTCAGTATTGTTTTTGCGTTGCATGGGGGCAATTACGATAATGCAATTTTAGTTGCAAAATACGGATACTGTACCCGTACTGGGTACTCGTATTATTTCTCTGCCAAAACTACTTTAAGAAGATGTAAAGTGAGACGATATTATTTCTCTGCCAAAACTACTTTAAGAAGATTTAAAGTGAGACGACTTTTCTCTTCATATTTTCAGGTCCGGCCAGTCGCGTACGTTGAAACGTACGGTAGGTACGGAACCCTTTGTAACCAAGTTTTTCTTGAGTTTTATTTCTACATGAGTTAAAATAATTTGATCAGATGCTTTCAAAATTCATGTCAGTCATTGGCACCAACACAAACGATACAATAATGCTATAAAGACGTCGACAAGGAAGAATTCTACGAGAAAAACTATTACGCCAAGAAAAGTTAAAGGAACAAACATGGACAGCGACGATGAGATAGAAATGAACGACCTTTTGGGTCATTCAGAACAAATCATGTCTTGGAAGGAGAACGACGTTTCGCAGGACGAAGGGATCGGCCCTCTTGCCAGATCGGAACAGCATCCTAGGAAAAGGGGCCGCTTTCAATGTCTCATCCTATTCTTTCTTTTGGTCGCAGCTGTCTCATACCTGGCCGATACGATGTACCTGTCCCGCGAGCATGTAGATACCTTGTTGGAACCCGACGACGAAACGCGAAACGCCAAGCCGAACAAAATCGATGACACCGAGGTCAGAGTAGATGACGAGCCAGAAGCCGAGACGCACGAAACACAAAAGGCCGAGCCGAACAAAACTGAGGGCATGGGGGTGGAAGTTGAGGACAAGCCAAAACCCGGGAAGCAAGAAACTCCAGAAGCCAAGCCGAACAAAATTGAGGGCACCGGGGTCGAAGTCGACAACAAGCCAAAACCCGGGAAGCGAGAAAGTCCAAAGGCCAAACAGAACAAAGTCAAAGGCACTGGGATCGACGTTCAGGGCAGTCTCAGCGCCGGAAATCCGCAGAAAGAAAACGCAATGGAGAAGCATTCAATACAGTCTGGAAAGTGTGCCGACAATGTCGATTTTAGATTCAAGGACAAACCCGAAAAGGACTGTAATTGGGTAGCAACAAAAAAGGAGAAAGTCTGTCATAAGAACAGGATAAAAAAAGGATGTCCGGCGACTTGTGGTGTATGCGCTCAAGACGATCAAGAAATCCAGGTCAAAGCGCCAGGTTCGAGTAGTGTCGACGATGGTTCTGATACCGTCTCCAACAATATTGCGGAGGGCCACGAAGAATCGGACACGAAGAATGCCGAAGATGGTGAACATCAACCCACACTAGTTGCTGGCGTCCCTGACCAGGATTTATATTGTGAAGATTTGAGTCGATATGAGGAATGGCACAAAATTAAAATCAGCAAGGATTCTGGAAAAATGTTCTCGGTCGTTGACGTTTTAAAACACGACCGTAATTCATTTACGTATGTATTTTTTTTGTCTGGCATTCGAACTATAATATCGATGTATTAATCGGTGATGGAACAAAATCGAATTGTTTTAACGTGGCCGATTTTTTGTTCGTCTCTTTACCTCCAGGCAAGGGTTGACTTATGCAAGAGGAACCCTTTTTGAAAGTGCAGGGCTTTTTGGTGAGTTCTGAAACATGCTATGGGATGACCGAGACTCTGGTAATGTTAACAAACGAAGGTTATTTATGTCGGTGGCGATAGTTGCTAGAGATGGCAGCGTCATCAGAGTTGAAGCCAACACGGTTTTATCTAACTTTCACCGTCATTTATGATTCTTTCAAACCAAAAGGAAAATCAACTGTTCGAATCTTAGACCCAGATTATGCTACTGTACAAACGAAGGTTTCAATGGAGAAGAAATACTTCGCAGAAGGGCTGGCTTACTACAAAGATACCCTGGTTCAGGTAACCTGGAAATCTCATCAAGGGTTTGTTTATAATATTACAAATCTTGAAAAGATTGATGAGTTCACGTTCAAAACTACCCTTAACGAAGGTTGGGGTATAACTTGGGATCGCTGTAAAGATGAGTTAATTGTGACCGACGGAAGTGAAAACTTGCATTTTTGGGATCCAAAAACCATGAAAGAGATACGGAGAGTCAGTGTGGAAAGAATGGATGGGAAAAAAGCCCTAGAAATGAACGAGATCGAATTTTGGCGCGGGCGCATCCTGGCCAACATCTGGTTTGAAGATGTAATATTGGTGATCGATCCAGAAACAGGCATTGTTGAAAAGGAATATGGTACGTTGCCTCCATCTCGATCGTTTGAATTCTTACGGCGCATCACGATAATCTCTTACTCAAACTCGTTTTGTCGAAGACTTTTCTGAATTATGGCCCAAGCATGAACGGAAGAAATATGGAGCAGACGTACTAAATGGCATTTCAATTTCGGGGAATCCAGATGTATTATATATTACGGGGTAAGTGTTTCATTGATTGCTGATTCCCTCTGCATCGTATTAGATTTCGTCATACCTAAAAGTTGAAGGGCATGTTGCTCATCAAAGTTTATCCTCATACGCCCCAACGTTTTCGTCTCTCCGGAGCGAAGGAAACTGTGGAACAGAATGTACAAAATAATACTCTTGCCTGAACTATGATAGGGGAGGTCAACACGTAAGTTGATACTAGTAAACAAAGTTCGTCACCCTCAAATCCATACCAAAAATAATAATTCCGGTCATAAAATTCATTTTTTTTACACTTCGAAACAAAACATGAAGGTGATGAACCCATTTCAAACATGGGATGTCTTCTATTGATGTCTTCAACATATACTTCAATGCTATACCTAGAGAGGCAAAAGGAAATTTATTTTCAATCGCTTTTTCAAGAGTGATGTAGCGAAGGAGCAAGAGACGATCAAGAGCGTGATTCTATTGGAGTTAGTAATGAATTAATAGTGTGAGCTGAATTCGTATCCAGTTTAAGTGATAATCTAGAGTGTGATGTGTGCTAGCGGGGTGTGCTTTTCGGCGTATCAATCAAATGTGTTTAAGTCATCCGAGAGCAAATATTTGAATCCTATTATTGCAATTGTCTCCCGTCACCTGTTAAAAACGTCAGCCTATTTAGTTCGTAGTAAGTCCTCAATGGGGTGACAGCCGACCGCCCAATAGAGAAAGTCTGGAAGTCAAAATCTCTTGCTTTCTATTCAAACAGAGGGAGAAATGAGGATATGTTTCGTGCGTCGACAAATTTATTTGTCGATGAGTCTGCCATCAACCACACAATACGTCACAACCTTTTGTTTTGGTGGCAGGGCATAATCCGATGAATTCTGATAGTTGACGGGTGAATGAGGTGGTTGCTCTCTAGATCGTCGATGGCGACTCTTGACCCTCTCCCGCATCGCAAGATAGGCCGAAAACAACAGGAAGATGAAAAGACCAACTATCCATGCGATAAAGCTTGTAGGCATGTACAAATTATTCACTACAGACGAAGAATAGTTGTGAGTGATTGAAGAGAAGCAAATTGCAAAATGATTCGATTGGACTTACATCCGAAACTGAACTCCTCTTCGCTCACCGACTCATTAATATAGAAACCATTGTGAGCCATACAAGTCGGTCCCGTAAATTGTTTTTGGCAAACGCAAAATCCCCGCGATGAACAGTATCCGTTCGCATTCGATCCACAGTCGTTATTTTCTCTGCAAGGGGCACCACCGTTTTGGACAGGCTGCAGCGGTGCGGTATCTCCAGTTTCCATATATCTCTTCTGGTGTCCCTTAATGAAAAGACTGGTTGGCCGATTCTTTGGCGAACAGCCAAGTGTGTGCTTTTCTTCTCCCACAGCCTGAAACACACGAACATAGTCGATTTCGAACGTGGCCGGGAAGTTTTCGCAGTATCCTGTCGGTAACGCGCAAGCGCATTCTGGATTCCCGCATTCGTAGCATTCACAACTGCAACCGTCGGGACATGGCATGGGAAATCCCCAACTGGACGCAACAGCGGTATTCATGAGCAAATACATGGCTTCACTTGGTATCTCACTTCCAGTGGTTTGAAGGTTCGAACCTGAAATGCCGTACATGAATACATCATCGGTATACCACCGTATATAGCCCCCGGAGCCATCCTCAGCGGGTGGTTCCCATTCTACTCTGTAAGTATGTTGATTGGTGTAGTGAGATGTGTTCAAACCACGATTTGCCGACAGTGCATCTGCTTGGTACGTGTAGGATTTCAGTTTGTGAACCAGAGTCACCCCATAAAAGAAAGGGTTAAGTTCTGATCTGGTAAGGTTGTTGTGGTTGTATTCCATGCCCGAATACCAGTGTCCTTGTTTGGGTTTCAATCCAAGCACCGGCCTATCACGCTCGATACCAGGAGCCACTTGGTACGAGGCGGACTGATAAGGTCTGGTAATATTGGTGCTTGGAAGTTTCTCTGCGTCGCCCTGCATCGATTCAATTACATCGATTTCAGGAGCTCCACGACCACGGTAATCCTCCATGCCGTAATGGTGCACCCTCGAGCACGAACTAATTTCTTGGCTGAGACGATTTGATGCATCGCATTTGTTGTAGCTGTAAGGCCACATGTAATCGGAAGAACCAACGTACGTTGCTCGAGCAAGGTTTCCTAGCATCCACACTGATATTTTTGCATGCCGTATGGAAAAAGCGTAAGTACGACTCTACAAATAGAAATTGAACGCTTTTTTGGAAAGGCATACGAAACAACTACTGACAGGCTCATTCAAGAAAAAAACGAGAAACAACTTACATGCTGGCCATAGACCACCGATCCTGGGGCTTCCCGGAAGCTTGGCTCTGAATTCAACAATTCCGCCGGTGAAGCAAAATTTGTTCCATCCCTGCACCATACTGCTTTGAATGTATTTTTTATCGTTGTAGAATTTTTTGGTTTTTTCATTAAATGCTCGGTAGGAGTTCACCTTCGTCTCGGTTTTTATCTTGAGCAGTCCGTCTTCAGTCTTCGCATTTTCGTTGCTATAGTAGTGAAGCGCCGCATTTGTATCTGAAAAAGAATCGATAGATTCAAAGTGAGAAATTAAAGGAGGAAAAATAAAGTTGAAACATTCCAGTATTCCGCCATCCTCCTCTACAAAGGCAATCCGTAATGCTCCAGAAGATAGTCAATAGGAATGGATGCTTCGATGTTCCCCTAAGTAACGACACGACTCACAATCATTTTTATTAATGGCTGTCCATCTCGGATCGTTTCCATCTTTCATGTCCCTGCCATCCTGTTCAAATTCATCAGAAAATACTAGCTCATACTTTCTTGTATCTTCCTTATACAGAGATTCAGTACTTCGAGAGTTCATCGGTGTGTCCGGATCCACCCATGATGCCTCTAGAAAACTGGATGTCAGCAAGCCGACAAGTACAAAGATGGAACGGGAACAGAAGGGAATGGCCATCTTGGATCAGAAAGTGACAAACAGGAAACGAAGTGTGCGGTCAATGATGCTGCTTCCACCAATGTTCCTTGACACTTGTGAAGGTCTGCAAATTGCGAACAATTACTTGTACAACGTTGAATCTACCCTGTAGTTGTTCTCGCTTCGAACAGAATCCTTTGGAACAGGTGACTCCAGTACGATGAAAGTTGACTGCAGCAAGATTGTCAGCCAATTCCTCTCTTTAATCATCAAAGACGAAGATGTTGTGGATTAACACTTGTTGGGCAGTAACCAACTTCGACAGAGGGGAATACGGGATGTTGATAGAATTGAAAGATCTAGGAGTTGTTGAACACGGGAACAAAAAGCGAACCAATATGTACTGGTACCTGGTAAAATTCCTCGAAACGATTATTGTTTCGGTCTAGTTAGATGAGATGCATGGAACAATAGAATGCAATTGTAGAGTGATGTTTGCTTCGTCTTTTATCTCGGCATTGTACCAGATCCACCGCACCAAATCAATCGATATCCCTCCAATCAGAAGCGAGCGTGACGTTTCTTCTTACGTAAGATACAACGCCAACGATTCCAGAATTCAGTGACAGCGCCTATTTTGGATTGACGTGAAAGGATTAATATTTTCTACGTTGATTTTCTTATTGGATGCATCAAAATCACTGCTCTACCGTTAGTATCGGTTACAGTGCGTTACCTACGAGTATCGTAGCCTAGGAGTCCGACTCCGAACTAATCGTTCGAGTACGCACGTACCGTACCGACCGGTAGGTACGTGAAGAATCATGCGGAAGAATCGCAATTGTAGGTCGTACCTTACCTTCGGTATGTTACATAAATACATACTGATATGAATGCATGACACTGATAACCTGGATTGAAAGGGGACAACGCGAAGTACAAACCACTCTTGACCCAAACCCCTCTTTACACACAGGCAGAAGAACATTGCACCTTCTGCAAGATAAACAACCATTCCCTCTTGTTGACATCTTCACCAGCATACTACTACTACTACTACTACTACTACTACTACTACTAGTACTACTACTACTAACAAGAAGCAATCCATGCTGCTGCTGATGGCCGTGCTGGTGCTGACTTCTTCTTCCTCTTCTTGGTGATCAATTCTCCCTCCTTGCCATTGATGAGTTTTCTAGTGCTAGTAGTACTAATACTGCTACTAGCACTACCACCATTATGGTTGTCCATTTCTTCCTTCTTTGCTTCTTGTTGCTCATTTACTACCACACAATCAATGCAATAGTTCCTTGTCTGCTCTCATTCATACTTTCTACTACTACTAGCTACTATTACTATTACTACTACTAGAAGTGCATTTTTTTGCACCAGACTTTGAAGTGGTAACCTCTCCACAAGAAGGAATGGTGCAATTCTCTTTGATCACACAGCAGGAGGAGAAACAACAAATGTCATGGTTATGAGCACGACAGTATTTTCCATTCTTTGAAACCTGAAATTCCCAGCACTTTGGCTCAGAATCTTGATCATCATATGGAACATTCCAATCCACTTCACTACCTTGTTTGTTCATCAATGATGCAATAGCTAGCAAGATGAGCTCAGAATTTTTTCCTCCCATTGTGGTGGTGTCTTGATTTGTCCTACACATTCCATTCCTACTACATAAACTTATGTAAAGCACCCAGGAACTTCCAAGCTAGTATGTTTGGCATCACTGTCCATTGCTCTTGGTGTTTTAACTGCTACTAGTTCTGGACATTTACTGACCAGATGCTCTCAATTGCCATGAACATTGATTGCTTTGTCATGATGTCCTTGTAGTACCTTGAAACGTCAGCACAGATTATGACTTTACAATCTTCCAAAGAACTGTGTACATTGATAAGTCCTTCACCTGTGACATGTTTGTTGTACTTGTTGTCCGTAGGATATCAGACCGTGGGTATGATTCATACATAC